ATCATGACCTGAGCCGAAACCAAGAGTCAGACGCTTAACTGACTGAGCCACCCAGGCGCCCCAAAGCAAGTATCATTAACGGTTGGGCGCGTATGTCATCTTAGATGAACCAGAGAAATTGGTCATAGGAGGGGGAAAAAAGGGTCAAGTATGGCAATTTCATGTACTTCGACCTAAGGAAAATACACATCTTGCATGGTAACTCCAGATGAATGGTGACTTTGGGGGAGGGAGGCAGGGAAGGATGGCTTTAGTTCTATCTCTGACATGTTAGTTCTTAAATAAGTGAATAAAACGAAGATCTGAAGCCAGCGTGGCAAGGTGTTAGCATTGCTGGCCTCGATCATGTAGACCTAAGTGTCTATTTATTATTTTCTATAACTTGTTTGACATTTTTTATGACTAAAAATAAAAGCAGTGAATGAGAGAAGGGGAAGCAGGTCGGGTCAGTGCAGACAACTGAGTCAAGCAGCTGGTGTGGGAATGGAGGAGATGGGGCCGCATCCGGGTTAACTGTGGAGATGGTTTGTTTATCGAGGAGTTGTCCCTGGGTGGCAAGGGGGCTGAGATGAAACGTTCAGGACAGAGGAGGTGGAAAGCTATGCCAAATCCCACCGAAAACAGCCAGGGCCATTCCTGGGATGGGGAGAGTGTGAGGAGGAGCTGGTGTGGGGAGAAGGTTGTGGCCTCTGTTTGGGGCCCACTGAATGTGAGATGTCCACTGGGGACTGAGACCGGAGACCGCTGGAGCCAGCAGGGAGGACTGTCTCTCCTCAGTTTCCTCTTGGCTGTTCCATCTGTGATCTCCCTGTTTTCTGCCTGCTGGTTCATCCCTCAACCCCCAGGTAGGAAATGCCAATCACATTGACTCCAACCCCATCCTTGACCCTTCCTCTCGGCACCACAAAAGAAACCCCTTTGTGCTTCTCCAACTGGACCCCCTGACTTGTTTCCTTCTGCTGGGAAGGCCTACCTCCCTCCGTCCTTCCTGATTTGTCTTCCCTCCTTCCAAATCGGCATGTTAAAAGCCAGCTTTACTGACATACAACCCACAGACCATACAATTCACCCCTAGTGTAGATTTTCCCGGTGCTTACCATGTTCCGTGTTGTGCAGTCATCATCACCATCAATTTTAAGACATTTTCATCACACCAGACAGAAGCCCCATAACCTTTGGCTGCATTCACCATCTCCTCCCTCTGTCCAGCAAGCACTGAGGTGCTTTCCATCTCTGGATTTGCCTTGTTCTGGACACTTGATACAAATGGAAACAGACAATATACGGTCTTTGGTGGCTGCCTTCTTTCTCTGAGCGTCCTATCTTCAAGGTGCATCGGTGCCATAGTGTGTATCTGCACTGCATCCCCTTGTGTGGCCAAATGATATGCCTTTGTGTGGCCTAACATCTGTTGATCCATTCATCAGTTGATAGATTCAGATGGACTTTTCTCAGGAAATCTTTCCTTGTGCCTGTTCTGGCCCCTCCCCACCTTGTTCTTCTAGCCCTTACTCATTCTGTAAACAGGGATTCCTTGGTCATATGACCTATGAAACTGGGGTGAGGTTTGTGGAACCCACTGGAGCCCCTGTGTGGCTGGGAGACTGGCCATCCCCTGGGCCTTATTTCCTTGCCTCTAAGCTGAGGACAAGGGTATACCCGTCCAGGACTGTGGGAAGTGCTGACCCAAGGGCAGTGTGGGGCAGAGTGGCCTGGGGCATACGGAGGGCCCTTAACAGTGTTGTCTCGTCTGCATTGACCTTGATCCCAGCTAAGAGTGTGCAGGCAGGAACCATACTTCCTTCCTTGCTATTCCCCATCAAATGTCTACGCACAGTGTTCTTTGACAAAAGTGAGACCAGGGTGGGAAGAAATAGAAAGGAAAGAAAAAGCAGGTATCAGGAAATACCAGAGGAACGGGTCGAAATGATTCAAATGAGAGAGAAAAGGCAGGTATCAGGATTGAGGAGGGTGATGCAGGAAGAGCATGGGGCAGTTTGAAGACTTTGGTTTCAGGCCTGGCCCTGACATGTCCAGATCATTTACCTCTGGGTCATCTGGACCAGATCCCCTCAATTTCCCTCTCTGTAAAGTAAGGCATGACCCATGCCATCGCTGCCCACTGGTGGGGGGATGGTGGCAGCTCATACACCACCGTGTAAACCATTTACTGAGGGACCCAGGGCGCTGGGTGGTGTCTCTACTGACCTAAGGCAGGCACTGGCTGAGGCCTCATGGGGACCTAACATATTGTCCCTCTGTGGAGGAGTGGCCTGGACTGTTTCAGGCTGGGCACATTCTTTTCAGTGTCCTGGAGAACTGTGGGACTCGGAGGAAGCTGACAGCATTCTTTCATTCTTCTGTTCACTCACTCATTCATTCAATTTTACAAACCTACTTCTTGCTGGGCACTGTGCTATGACTAAGACATACCCTGGCCCCTGGAGGGCCCCCAGACTCGCGCTAATAGGGACACCCGTGGCACACTCCCATACAGATGCTGCCCGCCCTGTGTCACCCTATGACTTGATACACTTTGTGCCTTACTGTGCAAACTGACTTCTTGAATACCTGTTTGTGATTTCCAGGGCTTGCTATTTGGCCTCCTTGAATATGGAAGAACTTCTTTATTCTTTGCCCAAGAGATTAGCACAATGGCAATGCCCTCAGGAGATTCTCAAGGGATGCCAGATGGAAATAAAAACATGAATGGATGAAAAAAAAAGTTAGTGTGCCTGGAAGTGCTGTGGGAACTCTCAAGTGGGCTGGGAGGGCTTCCTAGGGGAGGTGACATTTGAAGAGGGTCTTGGAGAATCTCAGCATGGGGAACAGCATTTGCCAAAGTATAAAAAGGCCTGAATGAGGAGAACTTCCTCGTGGCGGCCGGGTGGGTATGAGGGAGTGATGGTGCAGAGAGAGATGGGAAGTTGAAGAGACAGATATGGGGGCAGCTCAAGGTCTCAAACAACACAAACAGGAAAAAGTGGAGAGATCACTGGGTCTTGACACTGGAGGAGGATGGTTTTTCTGGTACCTACACTACACATTCTTTATTTTAAAACAGCTATGCACACTTTCTTCTGTTTTACAGACTATATAGGTACAGCCCTTTCCCCCCTCCTCTGTGCAGGAGCCCTTTGTTTTAAACAGAGTTCGTGCTCTTTTTTCAGGAACTTAACGCGGGTGCTGCGTAGGTTGAAATGTGGAGCGCAAGGGACACAGCGGGGAAGCTGCCACCGGAGTCACCCGGGCGATGCAGGACGACTCTGGGGCAGCGGGACGGGGTGGAACAGGTAAAGGACGTGGGGAGGGCTGCGTGGAGCGGGAGGGAGGAGTCTGCGCGGACTCACGGGGCTCTGGCGTTGGAAACTAGGCCGCCGGTGATACCTTTCAGATGAGGACTTCGGGACCAAGCGCGGGCAAGTTCTGAGGAGCAGATAAGGCACTGAGACGTGAACACCTTAGCGTTCTGCGGGACTGTCCCGCAGGGAGTGGCCACCCCCCTCCCCCGAGCCGGTCTCCCCTGGGCCGCACACCTGCCTGGAGCCCCCATGGGGGGGCCAGGTGGACTTCAGGGCGGGGGCGCTCCCGAGACGTCCAGGCCCGAAGCCCTGGTGTAAAGGGACCCCAGCCCAGAGGCAGCGCCCGCCACCTCCCGCGCAGCTGAGGGTGTCGCATCGGGCAGTCCTGTCGCATCGCGCTGGGGAACAGCGGCCCAGGGGTCTCGCGACCCCCTCACTTCACTTGGGGGTGGGGGGGTCGAGTCCCGACCTCTGCCACTTCCTGCCTCAGTTTCCCCATCTGCACACACTCGCGGGCGGTCTGTAACCTGCAGGAGACCCGACGCGTCGCTGGCATCCGGCGAGGGGAGGCGGCCAGGCCTGATCACAGGGGGAGAGTCGCGGACCGACACGGCCGTGAGGAGCTGGGACCCAGCAGAGTCGCCCAGCGGGACTGGCGGGCCCAGCCGGCGCCGACTCCACGCCTGGGGGCCCGGCTAGCCGCCAGGCCGCAACCCCGGCCCTCGCAGCCCGGCCGCAAGCAGAACAAAAGTGGCGGCCGCGCCGGGCGCGGGGCATCCCACAGGCGCGGCAGCTCCGCCGCCGGGGCACCCCCGCCGCTCCACGCACGCTGGCCGCGCCTTCGGCCCTTTCCGCCCGAGCGCGCTCGGCTCTTTCCGCCGCGGACGGCGCAGGTGGAGGGGGCGGGGCGGGGGCCGTGCGTGGTGACGCCGCGGGGGGGTGACGCACCGGCGTGCCCCGCCCCCTCCCCCTCCCCGTTCAGGCTCTGGAAAGAGAAGAAAAAAAACTTTCTTTTTTTTTTAATTGAGGAATCAACAGCCGCCATCTTGTCGCGGACCCGACCGGGGCTTCGAGCGCGATCTACTCGGCCCCGCCGGTCCCGGGCCCCACAACCGCCCGCGCACCCCGCTCCGCCCGGCCGGCCCGCTCCGCCCGGCCCTCGGCGCCCGCTCCGGCGGCCCCGCTCGCCTCTCGGCTCGGCCTCCCGGAGCCGCGGCGGCGGCGGCGGCGGCGGCGGCAGCGGCGGCGGCGGCGGCGGCGG